AAAGGATAAATGATGAACGGGATTCAAGAAGATAGAAGAGGACGATTGATGTGGGAAGTGTGAGAAAAAAACTATTGGAGTAAAAGAGGCGATTGCATTTAGCTATTTCAACAGTAAACAGGTGAGACCTAGATGCCAATCTAGCAGCATGCTTAAATTCATGTAGTCGGGGTACCAGGAAAAAAAACCTTGTCAAGAGCCGTTGCCATGAAAATATTTGTAGAGAAAAGAAAAAGGGAAGCCGCGTTATGTATAAGGATCCTTTTTTTGTTTTCACTTTCTTTAAAACTTCCTCATTACTCGCATGATCAATCCATGGTATTCTTTGCATACATCTGTAGAATCATATTTTTGTTGCCTCAAGTCTGCAAGGAAAAATGTGACCCAACACCAGAATGGACTGATCCCTCTACTACTAATAGGACAGTTCTATAGATTTCTGGGAAGATCAGGTGACCATCACACTTCCGTCTCTCTACCGGAAGATACAGTTGGACTTTATACTCTTTCTGGTTGTTACTGACTAACCTGCATTCGTCTGACTACTAATCTCTCTGTTGTAAATACCTCTTCGGATATACCAGTATTTTTCCCTACGTATGTGTTTGTACTTATTTCAATACACGCACACGGAAACACTCAGCATCTCAGCAGGAATGAATACAATATACAATGTTATGAAAATAACAACGTTTTTTTAGGAAAGTCTTTTCTGTAATCAAGTCTCTTGTTTTAACCCTTTACCTGTTTGTGTGTACTATCCAAACATGTTTGTTTCCAGATTTATAACTATTACAAGGCGACACAGCTTATTTGGCAAATACAATGTGTTGATATATAATGCTTCTCATAATAAAAACCCATGCATCATATAAAACATTTCAGAACCAACGTACATACGTGAGAGATCATTTAACTTTATTTCAATACAATCAACATAAAAGGAATAAACGTCTGTAGCAGAAACACAAGATTGGTGCATGCTTCTTATGAGAACTTATGAGAAAATGGGTAATCTGAAAGTTCTTGCAGGAGTTCTTGATGTCGCACTTATGAAACAGTTCCAGGAAATTACTTACAACTGTGACATATGCCTAAAATATAAGAGAGCATAACCAAAGTCAGTTACTGGTTTCTCTTTAACAAAATGCTTTAATGAAATGGTGTCTATGGACATTAAAGTGATTAAAGGAAATAAAATTCTTCATTTAATAAATCATTTTACCAGATACAGTGTATCATCTAAAATAAATTCAAAAGAAAGTTCATAAATTATTCATGTATTTCAGTTTTGGATTGCATATTTTGAACCTCTTAGTTTTCTAACTGATAATGGACAAGAATTCGACAATGACGCTTTAAGAGACATGACTCAAAACTTGAATATTATTGCATGAACTTGTTTACAGATTTATAACTATTGCAAGGCAACTCAGGTTATTTATCAAACAGAATGTGGTGATATTTAGCGTTTCCCATAATAAAAACCCATGCATCACACGTGATGCACAGAACGTACAAATTATAAATTATTTACACTATGCAAAGGTTATAATCATTTCAAGTGGAAAAATAGATCTTTTTCATTTGAGACTTTACATTATCAGTCAAGCATCTTATGATATATGATGCACAAAATATTAAGTTAAGCTTTTCCTCAGAAATTCTGCTCAATGGTAGACTTTTTTATTAGCCATCCTTAGTTTTAGCACTCATTTAAAATCATGATTTGTGTGCCCCGCATATGATCCACTGATATGGAAATCTCATATTCTGTGCATCAAACATGAAATGCAGGACAGGCAAATAGTTAATATTGGGTGACTTTTATTGCACAATATTAAAATAGTTCAATTGAATAAAAAAAAAAATCCTTGAAAAAGCAATGAAAGTGAAACAACAATTTATAAATATGTGGGTGTGTAATTGAAAGGAATATACAATACTGAATTTATAATGAGAATGTTCTTTACTTCAAATGAGGTGACACAGAATCTTGTTTATTTGAGAAAGATGGTTTGGAAAGTTTACTAGCACTGCTGACAAATTCAACAATATTCAAATCCATCTCTCTTTCTCTCTCTCTCTCTAATAAGAAAAATGGTTGATCTGAATAGATTAACAGCATAAATATTGCATTGGCTACTTTTCAACTTCTACCAATTCATTTTGAAAATGACTAATGATGGTCAAAATTATTTGGATGTATCCAAGTAATTTCGACCATCAACTTTGAATAATTTATTTGACCAGAAGAACTTTGGATAATTTATTTTATTTCAACTTTAATCCCAATGTACAATGCCTCATTTAGAAATTGGAAATATATAAAAGAAAGTTGAATAGACAGATCTTGTTGATTGAATTTAATAAAAAATGTTAGGGTGAATTCTTACTGCCTAAATATATATATATGGCATGAAACAGACTGTTGCCTCTAAGTGTTGACTTCTATGTTCAGTTTTATATTTTTATATATATATATATATATATATATATATATATATATATATATATATATATATATATATATATATCTTAATGGATTTATTTCTAATCCGACAATTGTTTATTCTGAATGTTATTGTTAATGGATACCTATGCTTGAATTATATGCTGCAATTTTCTTAAAATGTTAAACAGTGTGTATTATGTTTTTCATTCTGCCACTCAAAAAAACTTAATAAATAAAATAGGCTCCCTGTCTGGGTTTGAACCTGCATCCCCCATCTGATCTGGTGTGCTTTAGAATATTCAGCTATAGAGAGCGTCACAGTTCAGCAAGGTTTCATTTTTATTCTTTTAAAAAGAGCATATTTTTTGTATTAAGTTTTCTCATGTGTGCTGACTGATAGACAATATATACATATATATATATATATAGACAGAAACTAACAGAATAAACAATTTAATGGATGACTATTTATTTCTGGTTAACTCTTAATACATTAACATCATTTTTCTTGTGTACATACACCTACACTACACACACACTAATATGTATATAATATATATATATATATATATATATATATATATGTGTGTGTGTGTGTGTGTGTGTGTGTGTGTTTTTGTGTGCTATTTTAAGTTTGAAACAAAGTCTTTCAAGCATTGGAGAAAAGAGCTGTAAGAGGCCATAAAAAATTGAGAGCAAAGGGTAAAAGGACACATCAAAAACTGCATCATCTTGATTAATGGCATTTTATTTTTTTGTTGTGTGTTTGGGGAAAAGGGCGGATTTTCATAGTTCTGCACAAAGCTGCGTTTGGTCTGTCTGTTAAAGAAATTCAACAAGATTTAATCTGTACCCCTTCTCTGGCAAACAAACAAGTAAAAGAAAAAAAAAAATGTAAATTGGATCAATATATTTGATTAATTCTTTCACTTTGAAGTTGGGTTGATGATATTGAAGATGATGATGAATGTAATGACGGTGATAATGATGCTGATAATGATGAATGTAATGAGAGAGATAATGATTTTGATGATGATGAATGTATTGAGAGTGATGATGTTGTTGATAATGATGATGGATATAATGAGAATGATAATGTTACTGCTGCTGATGATGATCAATGTAATGTTGATGATCATGATGAATGCAATGCATGTGATAATGCTGTTGGTGATGATGATGAATGCAATGAAAGCAATAATGCTGTTGGTGACGATAGAAACAATGCCTTTCTTTTTGTTCTGGTTACTGAAATTGATCCTCTTCAGGTAGTATTATTTATAATGGGAATGATAATGGCGTCAGTCATTTAAAAAGAAAAAAAAATAACAGGAAATAAATAAGTAGAAAGGGTAATAATAAACAGAATAATGGGGGGGAAAATATAACAGAATTTTTAGAATGTATGTAGAGGAGAAGGGTTTTCAGAAAATAGAATAACCGAGTTCAAATCCTAGTCTGTTGCATTCACTTTCACACTGATATCAAAAGGCATAATTCCATATCTTTCTCAATTGCACCAGCTATGGGTTAAACAGTATGTCTGTTCTCTCTCTTGCCTTGGGTTTCAACTTGTCTAAGTGAAAGAAAATGCCGAATTTAAAACTGTGGTATGCACAACAGAAACCACTCCACCATATTTTTCCCAAGTATGCATGACAATTCACAAACTGTCTTCACCCTCCATGGAGACCATACGATACAAGAACACATATTTTCATGAAAAGATTTTTAAAAGACACAAATGCTATATTTTTGACATGAATATTATTATTATTTTTTAATATTGTTCACCCACTACAACGCCCAAAAGCCACTCAAGGTAGAAGGTTATTGTTATAGGAACTTACCTATAATGATAATGGACTCTTCCTGACACTATAAATACTGCGCCTCTCAAGAGGTATAATAAATGAATAGTGTAACAAGTCGAGACAATATTAGTTCACTCTAAAACCAGACGGACAGTCATTACTAACCACTTCAACTTCTTGTACTATATTTCTGTTGTAATATATCTTTGTTATTCTACTCTTGCGTTCGTGTTGTTCTTCCTTGGTTCTAACTTTTGGACCATAACTAGCGAGGATATTGGACAATAACAGTTATTAAATAAGGTCGTTGTAAGGGCGTACAGAGAGGGAACAAAGGATGCATATTATGAGGATATTTAAGACAGATAATGGTTGACCCTTAGCTTATGGGCTGTGTCCCTTCAGGATCAGGGCAATCATGGCTCTTCACATCTTACTATCCTTTGTAGCTCTTAGCAATATTTATCTTTTCACTACCCCTTGTAAAAGAACCACTTGAAGATTTGCTGTAACCTAGAAAAACTTACTGAATGAGGAATAACCAAAACGGAAATTGGAAATGAAAATGGTAATCTTCATAACATCAACAAAATACAATACTCGCCAGCGACGTGAAGTAAGTGAACCATTGCTCGTGGTGGACTACTTAGACAGCAAATTACCCACACTTACAATAGTGTCCAACATATTTATGAGGATTGGGGCATATCCATTAGTGTTCATATGTACAGTGTATCTATCTATCTATCTATCTATCTATCTATCTATCTATTTCTCAATTCATTCTTATGCATTTAAGTCTATTCATATCTATCGATCTCAATTCATTCTTATGTATTTAGGTCATTTCATATCTATCTATCTATCTATCTATCTATCTATCTATCTATCTATCTATCTATCTGTCGTATTACACTATCTATCTCAGACTATTCATATCTATCTATCTATCTCAGACTATTCATATCTATCTATCTATCTATCTATCTATCTCAGACTATTCATATCTATCTATCTATCTCAGACTATTCATATCTATCTATCTCAGACTATTCATATCTATCTATCTATCTATCTATCTATCTATCTATCTATCTCAGACTATTCATATTCATCTATCTATCTATCTATCTATCTATCTATCTATCTATCTATCTATCTATTTGTTGTAACCTAGAAAGGGTTACTGAATGAGGAATAACCAAAACGGAGGTTGGAAATGAAATGGTAATCTTTATATCATCAACAAAACACAATACTCGCCACTGGCAGTAGGTAGACCACTGCTAGTAGTGGACTACATAGATAGCATATTACCCCCACTTACGACAGTGTCCAACATATTTATGAGGATTGGGACATACCCATTATTGTTCATAAGTACGGTATATAAATATATACAAGTTTCTAGGACACAAAATGAGAAAAGAATGTCTGGAAAATTTGATACTCACAGGATATATTGAAGGCAAGAAGGACAGAGGAAAGTAGAATGTAAGCAATCTAATGGCTTGAACACCACGATCATGATCACGAATCCTGTGACCTATCAGGGTCGTAGGGGCATCACATGTACTGCAGTCGCAGTAGAAGTGGTGTGTCTTGAGCAATACAGCCTGATGGAGCCCATCTCTCTCCAGGCTGGTTTGAATTCAAAATTTTCCTTCTCCTAGTCTGGTTGCCACCTAGGGCTATAGAACCCAGTCTGTCCTGCTATTTACACATAACTGTGGGTGGAGAAAAGCAAGGTATTAGTACATAAGTCTATGTAATTAATTGAACATATTATATGATAAAAGCATTTCAGCAAAAGAATTTGATAAATACACCAAATATAATGATTCATGAATAGAAATTACAAGACATTTAAACAGAACTATTATTCCAGTAGTTGTGCAAGCACTAGGAATGATTTAGGAGAATACTGAATATCCCATAAAATCCATCTTTATCTGAAATAGATAAGATTGTATTAATGTGTACTACTCACATACTTAGAAATATTTTTCCAATCAGTTCCTAAAAAAAAAAAGAGAAAAAAAACATTTGTTTACGTCAATTCTTAGGTGAAAGTTTTGGTAATTGATTGTGAGATAGACCTTTAATTTCTATGCTAACAGTTTCTTCTCTTCTACTTCTTGCTTGTGGAACTCTCTTCTGGCCTCTTGCTTTCCAATCAACTTTGATCTTCAAAAATTTAAATGCTATGTCAATTGTCATCTTCTGTCTTCTTAATCCTTTTCCTTTTATTATCCTCTCTCCTTAATAATGTTTTTGCTCAGATTCTTTTGCACTCAGTAACCCCTTGCATCTTAGTGGCTTTATCACCTTGCTTGGGACGAAATGATTAAAAAAAATTAAAAAATAATAATATTAATGTTATTTTGTTCTGAGAATTCACTATACCAAGCCATCTGCACTATTCAAGCCATAAAACACTTTGCAAAACATCAATGTTGTCCTATTGACATGATCATACTGTCTGATAAAAATTATCTGGGGGATGGAATCTGATAAATTCTTTAAATATAAGGATTTAGAAATAGATAAATACAAGAATTAGACACAATCATTAATTCATTAGTTGTAGGAGCACTAGGATTAAGAAGGATGCATACATTAGGAAAATCTTTACAAATCCATCTACACCTGAAATACAATAAATAATGATAATAATAATAATGATAATGATAATAATCAAATTCACCAAGTAATAATGTTATAATATTAATTATCATGATGATGTTAATAAGAACTACTCCATCAAGGAAAATAATAATAATAATAATAATAATAATAATAATAAAATAAACAGAATATCCACCATAAAATCTTGGCTGTCCCTGTGGTGCAATACAGCTTCAACATCCTTAACTGGATCATAGATGACATTAAGCAAATTAATGCCAAAATAAGAAAGCTTCTCACTTTCTACTGCTTACATCATCCCAAAGCTGATGTTGAGCATCTTTTATGTGCCCAGATCCAAAGGAGGCAGAGGATTAGTTCAACTAGAACTGTTTTACAAAACTACAACAATTTGCCTTAAAAAGTTATCTGGAAACTACTAAAGACTGAATGATAACATGTATCAAAGAACATGAAAGTAGTAAGCGACTTTTTTCTGTAATAAAGGAAGCCAACCAGTTCAAAATGAAGTTTTAAATGAGTATAGAAATACAAGTAAAGCACAATACACCAACTGAAGCTGCAACAATACTTAAAAAAGAAAGCAAAAACAAATGCAACCGACCAGATATAGAAACAATGGCAAGATAAACCGCTTCATGTCAATACTCTGCACGTGCCAAACAAGATGATGTAGACAAACCCCGTAACCATCAGTGGCTACGTAGTGCAGGGTTGAAAGCTGAAACCAAAGGTTTTATCCTTGCTGCACAAGACCAATGCTTGTTAACTAGAAACTGTCAAGCACATATACTAAAAGTTTGTTCGCCTAAAATGCAGATTCTGTGATAAATAACCAGAAACAATTGACCATCTTGTATCAGGTTGCATGATATTGGCACCTACTCAATATAAACTATATAATGCTACCAACAAAAAAGTGAATACCATCTATGCCAAATGAGTAAAGCAGAAAGTAAAACAACTTAGCCAAATGAAATTACGAAAAAAACTGGAAGGATAAGGCATTGCATTGCGAATACAAAGAAAGAACAAAGCATGCAGATGTTGACCAACAGCAAATACATCAGAGGCTTAGGAACACTGTGATGAAAGCTGAGACAGAAGGCCTTACTTATTATTACAGCTCAGGACCAAAGCCTCACAACCAGATCCTATCACTTTCACATAATCAAAGATGGAACTAACCCGAAATGCAGGATCTTTGGAAAATATGATGAAACTGTTGACCATATTATTTCAGGATGTCTGATACTGGCACAAAATGAATATACCCAGAGACATAATAAGGTAGCGACATATGTGCATTGGAAGATATACAAGAAGCAGAAGATCAAAATCACTGAGAGATGGTATGATCACCAACCAGAAATAGTTACCCCAAATAATAATGTAAATTCAAACAGATAGAAAAATAAAAGCCAACAGATTTGATATTATCATAAAAGACAAGAAATTCAGCAAGTGTATGATTATTGACATAGCAATACCATCTGAGAAAAACACCTCCTTGAAAATGATCGAGAAATTGTCTATATACAAAGACCTGGAGATTGAGATTAACAGGATGTGGGGAATGAAGACTGAGATGGTACCAATAGTAATCAGAGCTCTAGGTCTTGTGAGAAAAGTAATGGACGATTTTACTAACAGTGTCTCAGGTAACATCAACATACAAATTGCCCAGAAGGTCGCCCTGCTAGGAGCATCCCATATACTAAGAAAATTAAATGACAATTCTCTTATAGAGCCTAAAGACCATAGCCTGGACCCAGGTCTACAGGATATGAAGCAGGAAACATAACACACAAATAATAATAATCATAATAATAATAATAGTAGTAGTAATGCCTTACCAAGCATGGTTACTTTGAACAAACAGGCCAAAAAGAAAACACAGTCAAATCATTCATTTAACTGTGCCAGCAAACCTCAGAGAAAAAGCAAAATAAAAATAACAAAACCCCACCTGGGCACCGTGGAAACTGTAAAATGTGCAGTTTGGTATTTTTCATAAATGACGTACTGACCTAGTGAAGAGACTGGAGTAATTGGAGATTCAAGGATGATACTGAGGAAGGTGTTGTGGATTTTAAGAAAGTCATTATCGATCAGTCTTCAGCAACAAGCAGCAATCCAATCCCTAGGTGTGAAAATGCAAATGTATGCTATAGTAATATTGTCAATGGTAATATTAACTGTTTCCTTATAAAGAAACATTAAATCCAGTAGCTGTTATTATCACTTTCCAGTATTGATGAGGATTTTCTTTCGAATCTTCTATTTTTGAAGTGGTGAGGAATGTAAACATCTTGATTATGTCATTATTTTCTTGTCGAGTTACATGTGCTATCTATTTTAGTTGTTATTGCTGTTGGAAGTCCTCAAGGTTCAATGAAGGATGACCTTTGCCAAGACCCTGAAGACTTCACTCATTCAAAGCCATTTTTAGCAATTGATCTAATAAACCAGTTGCATAAAGCTGACAGTTTAGCTATTTCTGAACAGGTTTGACATCTTGCATGTCATGCATATGAATGTCTCAATCTAACAAGTTGATTTAAGAATGTAACTTCAGTTTTTCAACTTAATGTTTTGGTTTTGTAGCTATTTGTTGTATTGGGGGAAACTATCTTTAACATGGCCTATTTTAGGTTCAATTTCATTATCACTAAATTTGTTATAACTAAGCCATATGCTAAAGTGTTTATTACTTACTAATTCTACATCCTGAAATTTTAAGATAGATTCAGGGTAGGTATGATCACAGCTTTCATTCTAATTCTATAGTTTCTGTTTTAATAAACTTAATAATATACAATTGTTACTGATCTGAATGGATTTGTGGATGTTGTTGTTGGTTTAGTAATATATTATAGTGTTTTGTGGTGTGCATAAAAACATGATGTCTAACAAGCTTAATATAAAAAAAAATTACATTAAATATGACAAACACTGGCAAGGTGATCCCAGCCATTAATCAAAATTTCGTATCTGGAGTAGGAATATTAAAAGTATCAAGAAAAAAAAGAAAAATTAAAAAAGGTTGAAAGGAAAAGAGAAAGTGAAGAGAAGAAAAAGGGGAAAGAGAAAGAAAGGGATTAGATAAGGTGGGGAAAAAGAAAACTAGTGATAAAGTAAAGAAGAAAGAAAGAAAAAATTGGGGAAGAGGAAAAAGAAGTACAAAAGAAAGAGAAAAAGAAAAGAAAAGAAAGGAAGCAGTGGGAGGAGAATAGAGACAGAAAAGAAAAAGAAAGAGAGGAAGGTGGAGTGTAGAGAAAATAAAGGAAAGGAATTTAAAGAAAAAAAACAAAAAAAATTGAGAAAGAGCTTTTGATTAAAGAAAGAAAGAAAAATGAAGGGTTTATATCTAAGAAGAAAAAAGAAAAATAGGTGAATATAAATAGGAAAAGTGATAAATTAATGATAAAACTTATTGGTAAAAGAAAAAGAGTCTTAGAAGAATGAAAAATATTGATAGAAAAATTACAAAAATAAGCAGAAAAATGAGGAAGAGATTATAAGAAT